AAACAGCCGGCACCACCTCCAACACATCCACCGTCTGGCTTCCTCCCATCTCCCAGCGCAATGGCCCAAGCTGGCTGGTGGCTTGGCACGAACCCACCCTCTAATTAAGGCATAAGAGAAAGAAGGGGAAACCTTCAAAGAAATCCCACCAACAGCCCTTACAGGAAAGCTTAAGACTGCCCAAGCAATTGTCTGATCTGAGTTCTCTTCATACCCTTCCTGGCAGGGTCTTTCTTAGCTTCCCAAGCCCACCTGAGGGCACCAGGTCACTTTGTCTCTGCCCTTCATGCCACCACAGAGATGCCTTTTATAGGATTTTACAATGGGTTTGGATTCTTGTTTTATTTTTATTTTGCCGTTTTGCTCTCTGCATCAAGGCCCTGTGCGTCATTCCTTCTGGGTTTTATTTGATTGCTTTTGGAGATGAGGAGATTAATATTTCATCAAATGTACAGGGAATAAATAACCAGATTTGAAAGACATCCAGAATCTCTCCTGCTTTGACTGGCGTTTACAGACCTGATGAATGGGGAGCTATTTTTGCCACAAGCCGTTTCTGAGGAAGTCACAATGCTTGCCGTGATCTTCGCAGGACATTTCCATCACCCACAACACGTGCATTGCCCGTGATGTTGTGTGGTCATGCCCAAAGGAAGGGTGTATCCTTTGTAACATTTGCAACACTCTGGATGTGGCCGTACACTGGCAGAACCCCAGAGGCACAGGCATGTCCCTGCGTCAGCAGAGCCGCACCGGCCACCATGCAACAGCATCATGTACACCCATGCAACTCATGTACCTCCATGCAACAGCATCATGTACAACGCAACGAGTCCCTGTGCTGCCGATGCAGACACAGCCCCCAGCAGGACGGCTCTGGCCTGACAGGGTCATGCATCTCTGTCACACGGTCCAGGAAAGCAGAGGTGGTTTGTTGGGATCAGTCTCCAGAGGAACACTGTGGAGTTTTTCCCCAACCACAAACTGCGGCTTTTTGTTTAATGGGAAATGCCAGTCTGCACATTGGCAAATTATGGTTGACTTAGCTAAAAGCATTTTTATTGAGGAAAATAATAATTATGACTATTATTATGATTAGTTTAGCATTCTGCCTTGAAGTTTAATTAGCTGTAAAACAAAAGCTTTTGTGTTTCTGTTCTATTCAAAATTGACACTTCCTCCCCAAAGAAATTTGAAAAATATGACAGGCTATTTTGAGAAACTTAGAAATCATATGAGATGTTCAGTTATATCCCAGATCTTTGTGGGTTTCCCAGCTTCCTTGAGTTTGCTTGTTTTAATTTGCAGTTTTGGTGTTTTTGTTAACATGGTATCTCTTATTGATGCACACAGTCTGAGGGAGGGGAGAAGAAGGGGTGGGAGGGAATTATCTGTGTACTGAAGGAATAAGTCGTTTACTGCATAGAGCAATGAGTCAGAGCAAAACCCAGCCCAATGCATGACTTAGTTGGGTTTTCATTCTCCCAGGAGAACACTGGTTTCTCTCCCTGCATGACTGCATGGACAGCTTCTGCATCTCCACCAGGGTGTGATGGGATGGACAGGGGTCTGAAGTGTCCAGAGGCCACGCAAGGCTTCCTCAAGGTCAGGACCCAGAAGCTTTTCTGCCAGCACAGCTCTAAGGTAATAACCGTTAAAGGAGGTTGTTGATTGAGTAACAAGCCGTTGGCTTCCCTCCCTGCAACATATTCGGCAGGTCTGTGGTTTAAGCTTTCCTGCGCTTCCTTTCAGAGGAGCTGTAAGACTTGCAGGGACGAGGCAGGCTCTGCAGAGCAATCAAATACAACGGGGCTCCCCGAATTTGGGGCACGATTATATGGAGTGATGACCTGGAATAAGGGAAACCTGGTCCCAACAACCGCTTTCTTTTATCAGGTAGAATTTGAAAGCATGTTCTTCCCCTCACTGCTAGTCTAGGAGGAGGGAAAAGGGTCAGACACAGGACAGAAAGCCTGAAAATGGATTTTAAAACTAGGGCAAAAAGCACGTCCCTGGGAGAAACTTGTGTCGTGGTTGTGTTGGTTTTCTCTCAGCCTGCAGTTGCTAACGCAGTTCCACGTGCTGACAGTCCTTCCTCCACCAAGAACACACTGAAGAGCATCCTCAGCTTCACTCGTTTTATGCAGTAAAGAAACACTCCCAACACACTGGTGGGGAAACTGAGGCACACTGCTGATCTCAGCTGTGTTTTCAGCTGAGAAGCCAAACTCCACTCTTCCATCAACCTGATCTACATGTCCATGATGAGGATTATTTTTTTTCCTGCAGACATCCCACTTGGAAGCAAAGCCCCATGGCCCACACTGCTACCGATGCTCCACGAGGGAAGCAGGGACACAGGTGCCGTGTTCCCCCAGTGCAAGGACTGGCCCCAGTCTCATCCCCGTTGTGCAGGATGGACACATGGAGTTGCACGTTTTTCCCAAACAATGGAAGGGAGCGGCTGCAGGGGACAATGCAGGAGCACTGTGGTGGTGTAAGTCACACAAACAGCCCCACAGAGCAGCCGTCATGGAGCTGCTCAGGAACAGGACTGTCAAACCGTGTGCAGTTACATAAAATAATAATAATAATAATAATAATAATACACCGAAGGCAGATAAAATCAGGCTAAATCACTCCTCTCCCTCCTTCCTGGAGATCTGATATTTCTCTTCATTCTCCCCATCCCTAATACCCATCTCCCACGTTTGTCTCTGCACCGCACCGGGGAGTTTGAGATTAACCATGACGAATGGACTGATTTCCTTGTCTCAGGGACTGTTTTATTTTTCCTTTGCCACATCTGACAAGTTGCATTTTACTATAAATCCCCTCAATTAGGCCTTTCAAATAGCACTGCAGCCGTCTCCCTGATATATGGGGAAGGAATTATCTTCATGACCCTGACAACCAATTCCTGGACTAAAAATAGTTGACGTTCACTTTTGCTTTCCTCCCATCACCTCGCACTTTGGCCACCTGAGAAGAGCGTGGCCACTGCACATGTCCCACTCGGTGGCCATGGGCAGGCTGGGATGGCTAAGGACAATCCCCAGGGTTTTGGCATGGAAATGGAGTCTCTGGTGCTCCCCGCTGCAAGGTGCCCTGGGGTGCACGAAGCCCCCAAAACCAGAGCATGGAGCTGTGTCCTCAACCCACGATTCGCTTGGTGAATGGGCTGAATCCAGGCTGCTTGAGGGTGTGGGAGCTTTCTCAAGCCTCCTTTCGAAAGTTGGGCTTCTTGAAGTGAAAAGTGACACAGAGGTGGCTCTGGAGTGTGTCTCATCCTGTCACTTGTCAAGGGTAGGGGTGTTAGGAGAGCTAAGAAACAAAGAGTTTACTGAATTTACCAGCGCTTTACATATTTTCAAACATCTTTGCCAAAGCAATGACACAGTTGATTAAATCCCACTAACGCTGGAAGATTTATGTCTGTGTTGTTTATTCCCTTTAATTACTGGGCCAGGATCATTTACCCCTTGGTGTCTGGGATGGGTCATTGGCTGCACTCGTGCTGGGGTACAGCCCTGCATGGCCACATGTGCCTTGGTCCAGCAGATACAGGAAGGACCTTGATTTCCTCCTGCCCTCTCCCATGCTTCAGAGACAGAAAGTGGCTCCGTGAAGATGGATGGAGGCTTCAGCCATGAATCCATCAAGGGACGCTGCCCTCCTATTGATCCGTCTGCAATACGTTGTGGTCTGCAGCCGTTCCAAGAGGCGGAGGCTGTGGTTGGGACAAAAAGGGGAGCATGGCCCAGCACCCCATGAGAGGCTGGTGGTGGATGCACCAGCATCAGGTAGGGGAAACATCTTTGGTTCCCCCAGGATGGTGACCCCAATGGCAACGTCTTACATCGTCCCCTTCCCAGCAGCACACCTCGGCTCTCTTTATTTCCTCAAGGAAAGAATAAACCCTAACTTGCTGCCTGGCTTTCTGCTGCCAGGTCACCACAGGCAGGTGGAGCCTGGCTCACTCCTGGGGTGGGGGCACAGCAGCCACAGCTGGGATGAGCCCCCCCAGCCCCAGGTGGGTGCAGAAGGGATGCCCTGACACTGCCTTGGCACAGAGGAGCAGGTGTCACACAGGGAGAGATTCACCCAGCGCAGAGATGGACCCAAGCCTGGCCCGACAGCATCCCCAAGATATGGGCATGTGGGGGACCCCTCCCCAGGAGTCCAGGGTGGTGACTGCCAGGGGACAGCAGGAGGAGACACAGAGAGACACGACAGAGACCCCTGTTAATCTGGGGCAGGGGTGTGGGGTGTCATTAGCCAAGACCCCAGGAGCCACATCCAGGCTCCCCTGACTACCCACTCCTGCTCTCCACCCTCCCCAGAACAAACACCCCCCAAACCAAGCCCCCCTGCTCCTGACCCTTCACCTCTGCCCCTTTCACCACACATCCTATGAGAAAAACCACCCTCCCCACAGCACCCCCACCTCCTCCGTGACTCAGTTTCCCCCTGCGATGAACAAGTGCCCCCAGCACAGCCCCACTGCGTAGATGGACCTGCATCCACCTGCCCCACGTCCCGTCCTTGTCACAGGAGCATCTCCCCCACAAGGAAGGGGAAAGGGGCTCTCACCTCCCTCTGCGTTCACCAGCCAGTTTGCAAAGGGGTTGCAAAGGGTGGCGGCAGGGGGGGAAGCCTCCCCTTCCCCCCGGTCCCTCTGTCAGAGCCCTGGAGTCAAATCCCCGAATGCATAAACCCTCCCGCAAATCGCAGCCCCAAGCCCCTTTCGTACCCGCAGGGGACCCCGCAGCGGCGGCTGCAAAATGGGATTGCGGGGGGCAGAGAGGGGGAGCCAGGGGGGTTGGGGGGTGCAGCTGGGTGTCCCCGGGCCGGTGGGACGTTTCTGCTGCT